ACCCCCCCTTGGCAATTTTTTTCTTAAGAATTAAAATTTCATCTCACAGATTTCCGTTTTAACTATTCTATCTTATAGAGAATAGTCCGTAGATTAAGACGCTGCGATCAGATCCTATTTATCTCTTTTAGTTTACGAGATATTCGCAAATGAATAAAATGGGCAAAAATTGATAAATGTGACCTTTTAGCACTTTTAGTCGCGTTTCTCTACCTTTTACTTTAGGAAATATAATTATTTTATATTTTTATCTGATTGAGAATTTTCCAATCTTTCATAATCAACAATTTGTTGGCAGCTATCGCCTTTAGTTTAAGAGATATTAATTATCAAAAATCGTCGAAAATAAGTATCAAGCACCCCCCCCCCCCTAGGCAATTTTTTCTTAAGAATTAAAATTTCGTCTCTCAGATTTCCGTTTTAACTATCCTATCTGATAGAGAATAGTCCGTAGATTAAGACGCTGCGATCAGATCCTATTTATCTCGTTTAGTTTACGAGATATTCGCGAATGAATAAAATGGGCAAAAATTGATAAATGTGACCTTTTGGCACTTTTAGTCGCGTTTCTCTACCTTTTACTTTAGGAAATATAATTATTTTATATTTTTATCTGATTGAGAATTTTCCAATCTTTCATAATCAGCAATTCGTTGGTTGCTATCTCTTTTAGTTTAAGAGATATTAATTATCGAAAATCCTCGAAAAAAGTATCACTTATAAAACCTATTTATTTATTTATTACCTAATAAAAACCAAAGTAAACTTTAAATATTTATGTTTGATGTATTATGTCACGACACTGTTATGTATAATTGTGTCCACCTACCAAGGCTTAGTTAACACACACGAAGTGTATAAAGCGTATTTTACACTTTATAAAACACGTTTAAATGTCAGTAAAGTTATAGGTATTTACTTCCATTTCAGTGTTACCATGAGTGTTTCAGTGATAACAAAAAAATGGATTTCAAACTCCTAATCTACGGAAAATTCTCTATAAAATAAGTTAATTAAATTGAAAATCTAAGAGATGTAAAAATAATTTTTAAATAAATGGGCGAATGAGAGTCAGTTGTACATGCATCCACGTACGGTGCCCTGAACACGAGTCACCTCTACAGCTGCCCTTGCATGGTGCCCTGAATACGAGTCACTTCAACCGCTCCCCTCTTTTAACCCTTATGTTAGTAACCAACTTCACCGACGTCTTTTAGCAACCGGGTACCCGGGACCCATAATAAACCCAGATGCCGTTGAAGAGAGAGAAAAACCATATTTCTCTGTTCAATTTATTTCCTATGCTTTCCACCCGGTGGGTATCCGGGTACCCGGTTACAAACATAAGGGTTAAACTAAAATCGCAAGCGACCACAACGGGACCATTTCAAAGAATATAAAAGTTTGCAAAATTTTCTACCAGGTAATAATTAAAAATAATTTTATTCCGTGGGTTGCAACGCGATACAAAAAAAAAACGAAAAAACCGAGACAAAAAAAGGATAGGTATGGTTAGGGCGGAATTCCGCTGTATTGCATCTTCAAGCACAACTCTTGCGCTTTTGTAAGCGAAGGAAAAACTAAACAGTTAATTTTGAGATCCGCGGGTACGCGACTATCTTGTGTATTTGCAACACGCGGTAGTATCGACGCGATAAATCAAAACAAAGTTAATACAAACTAATGGAAGACGCAGAAATTAAAACGAAAAATATAATTGAATTATAAACTTACCAATGCAAAACTCATGGACTCCAAGGCACGACAAATACTGTAAATAAAAAGAGAAAACATAAGTTAAAACAAAAAAATATTTCATACTGTTTAGTAATATTATAATCACACAGCGGAGAAAAACAAACAATATGTGCTGTTTAGTTAAAAGTTACTTACACCAGTACGATGGGTCATCCTCATGATGAATATCAAATCAACGATACACTTAACCGGCATTTATGGGCTATATACGCGCAAAGAGTAAATAAAATTACTATAGTCGATTGATGATCGAATATAATGCGAATTTGGAAAGTAGATGTCCGGACAAACAATACGAGTCGCGTAAAACACGTCTGGATCAACCTCCGACCGGCACGAAACTGGCTGCAAACTGTGCAAGCAACAACGTGACAGTGAAAGCAATAGATGCGCAAAGCCTGCGGCGTGTCGATGGCACACGACATTGTGCGCGAATTACAATAGGCACGGTACCTGTGATAAGAACTAAACTAAAATATGCTGTATGCAACAGCGCGACGAGAATCTTACGCGTAGCATCTCGCACGGCGAATGCGATAAGAAAGTTGTTTATACACAAACGCTCATAATAAATTTGTCTTCAAAACGAATACAATTCTATTTTATTATTTTTAGTTCCTGCTAGTGCCATCTCTAAATGGAATTTACGATGCAACAATTGACAGCAAGACTCTGCACCTGCCGCATGATGCCCGCAGGTAAAAGCAATAGATGCGCAAAGCATGCCATAGACGCGGTACCTGCGATATGAATTAAACTAAAATATTACGCGTAGCATTTCGAAAATCGTGGAAATAATATCAAGCACTCAACCCCTCACCCCCCTTGCCAATTTTTTCTTTTGAATTAAAATTTCATCTCTTAGATATCCAATTTAACTATGTAGCTCATTTGATAGGGAATTGTCCGTAGATTAAGGCTCTGCGATGCATTCCTTTCTATTTCTTTTAATTTACGACAAATTCGCAATTGAAATAAATCGTCAAAATTTGAAAATTTGCAATTTTGAGCACTTTCAGTCGCAGTTTTAGACCTTTTACCCCATTAAATTAAATTATTTTAAATTTCCATCTGATAGCGAATTTTCAAATCCAAAGTTATCAGTTTGGAATCACAGCAATGAAAATTATAATGCAGGGTGTTACAAAAAGAAAACAACTAAAATATATAGGCAAATGCAAAGTCCTAGAAGAAAAGCCACAAAATAACTACAATTTTGGAATCACAGCAAGGAAAAGTATAATTCAGGGTGTTACAAGAAGAAAACCACAAACGTACAAAATAAATGTGAAGTCCTAGAAGGAAATCCACAAAATAACTATAACTTTGGAAACATAGCAAGAAAAATTATAATATAGGGTTTTACAAAAAGAAAACAACTAACGTACAAATGAAAATGCGAAGTTCTAGAAGAAAAAACACAAAATAACTGCAACATTGGAATCACAGCAAGGAAACGTATAATACAGGGTGTTACAAGAAGAAAACCACAAACGTACAAAACAAATGTGAAGCTAGAAGGAAATCTACAAAATAACCTTAATTTTGGAAACATACAGGGTGTTACAAAAAAAAACTAAAGTATAAATGAAAATGTGAAGTTCGAGAAGGAAATCCACAAAATAACTATAACTTTAGAATCAAAGCAAGGAACACTATAATACAGAGTGTTATAAAAAATAATAAAAACTAGAAGAAAAAGGAAAATCCAAAATTCTAGAAAGAAACCCAGTAAATAACAGCAATCCAGGATAAAATAAAAAATAATATACAGAATGTTACTAAACGAAAATATCCTATACCTATCAATCTTTCACTCCACATGTCAATAAAAGGCAGTCCTAGTGGCCCCTTGAGACCACATAAATAGGGATAGTAAACATTAAAACATTAAAAGAACAACTGTATCTCTACAAGATGACAAATATTGAAATATATTGAAAATATTGAAAATTTCCCGATAACTCCCCATAACTTCCCAAATGGGAAAGTCTGGGAATGTTATTCTATTTCTATGACCCATTTTCCATCGCAAAACAATGAAATACGCGAATTATTTTGCAAAATCACAAGTCTGCACGTTTTGTAAAACACTACGATACTGCAAATCAAGTACCGTCGGATAAAAACTAGTATTAAAACATGATTTATACTCATTGAATGATATGTACCTATTACTTACAATGTATATTCTCGCGACAGTCTTTGTACTCCATGACCTCCAACAGCCGACGGAGAATAATTTCACATTTTCTAACACTGCACACACTATAAATCATCAGGAACACAACACATTTGTTAATATCACACGTCGTTGACTCGTGATCGAATATAACTCGATTTACCGAATTAATCGCTATCGGAACATGGCAATTCGCGAAAGAAATACACAGAGCAACCGGCCACAGCACATGCTTTCAATTTCTACTCGACTCTAGGTATGCTTCAGCGACGGCGATAAGTCATTGGCAACTGCGCGAATGCAAGGCACCTACGTTTCATGCAGCGTGTGAGATCCGACGGCACACCGCCTCATGGACGTAAACAAATAACGATAACACATAAAAACAAAACCTGCTGCACCAATTCGCACGATCTCACACGCACACACGTTTCCTTTTAAGGCTATGTGCACTCACATCTACTACCAGCAACTGGCAGCGATAAGTGCGCTTAGAATTTAATGCAAGTATGTGCATTCCAACGCCATCTTTGCTAGATTTATAGAATTACTGAGAGATTCATTGATATTTACCAACAAACATTGAAAATGTACTAATTGGAACGTGTATTTCTAGCATTACTTAATAACCAATTATCTCCGAATGTACTAAAGATATTCAGAAACAAAAAACGGCATTGCAATCAGTATCGTATTATTCATAAGATAGAATTAAAACATTTGTATTTTCAAGATAATGAATTCCAATGCAATTTTCTCGGAAAGTAATAAAGTCACAATTTCTGGTATTTTATTTATGTCATGATTTTTTTTATATTCAGATTTTTTTTTTAAATATTTATTTATAAACTTTACGTGAATATTGGATTTACATTTTTATTTGTAGAGTTTAACATGTTTCGCCCTGAGGGCATCTTCATAAACTGACTTTAATAGGTATGTTAGGGGTGTTTTGTGTGTTAAGTGTTTATGTTATTGCGTGTTATCGTGTTTGAGGGTATGTACCCACATACCCACAAATAGAAATCTTACAAATAAAATCTACAAATAAAAATGTAAATCCAATATTCACGTAAAGTTTATAAATAAATATTTCAAAATATACAATGGATTACGTATTCACAAAGGAAAGTAATAAAATTATATTCAGAAGTTGACCAGAAACAATGAAAATTTAGCTCGGCGGTTGGACCACCAAGTTCGAAGTTAATTAGGGTAAAGTTTCCCTGCTTGACTGGGGACCATTTACCCTGCGAATATTTTTAAGTTGAATTAGAAAATCTCGCCAGGCATGTTATTTTTCTTACTATGGTCACATCATTAATCGCCGTACAGTAGAACTGTTCAATCACCATAGTCTAAAAAGATTTAAGAAATCAGAAAGTAGCACATTTTAGTTTTGCACCATTTTGGAAAGAAGCTAAATTAGATCTTTTGAATGTCCGATTCGCTTGAGATTCCGTCAAAAGTCTAGAATTGATTTCTCCTTTTCTTAAATATTTTAATTTTCGATATATTTTAAATTGAAATTTTTCAACTGAAATTAATTTTGAAAATAAGTTGGACCCTGTCTTTTATTCAATTATTTTTCTCTCTTTTAGTTCGTCCCTGTCTTTCAGCATGAAATCGAAGTTTTTGTTCAGCTTTATTCGTGAAGATGGCGTGCTATTTTATGTTGTTATTCGAACTTAGGACGTTGCGACAAATTCACCTATCCAGTCTTCAACTAACCATCAGAATAATCAAGTACAGAAACGCTGCGCACCAGTATTTCATTATTTAAACTAAAATACTAGTAAAACAAATTACAGTAGAAACCAATTAACAAACTGCTTGTCGATATATCGATGATGATGAACGAATACAGTGAATATTTATGAACACGGCGCAATGCTTGTGGACGGAGAGCGCGCTTTGGATGTGAGCCAAGGCCTTGTGAATATTACACAGCAAACGAGCGCAACACGCATGTCACGCATCCAGCAGCGTCTATCCAACACATGCATTTGCCGATAAATCGTGGTTTCGTGGTGTTATGCATTCATATTCGACCGCGCAATCGTGGCGTTCTCGGAGGAAAGCTAGATGAGTGCCGTTGGCATAAACACGCGTTTGTGTGGTTGTGCGGCAGGCGACTCGTGTTGCACTTTTTTACTGCTACTCGGCCTAAATTTGATGAAATCGATGTGAATAAAAAGCTCACACTAGCGCGTGTGATGCAAGATCACAAAGAGTCAACGCGAGCTCGCGAGTTCGCTGAGAACAAAGAAATCCGTTGCTGCTCCGAGAGCAGATTCAGTTTTGCGCTCCGAAACGTGACGTTTCGAATTTGTTTCGAATCAACAAACGTTGTTACGTTCCGCACAAAAAAGCACTTGTAATATTGCTTATTTATCATAGCGCTATAAATTTCGTTTATAAGAGCGGGCCAGGATGTGATAACGATTACTCTCCATTTGAAAATGATTACAACACTCACGATTAACGGACATATTAAGTTTTAATGTTTAATGTCACGAGAATCCCGCTGAAAATCGGGTCACTACTGAAATAAGCTATGAAATATTAAAACGACGCCGCACTTCTTTCCTCTCTGCTTTAATTCTAATTTTATCTTTTATCATCGGACCGATATACACACGGGACCTCCTTCGTAAGTATTGAACAACTGTCCGCTACACATGCAAGACCTACAACTTCGTATTGAATTGATTAGGAATATAACTTGCTTTTCATTTTTTTTATATCTGAAAATACCTTCGTAGAGGCACCTAATATGTGCAACCACTTCCGATTTCTTTCCTGAACGACGCACATCAGCAGGGACGGAGAGTGGCATGCGCGCCGGGTGCGCGTCATGTGTTCACCGACGAGTCCGACTCTGAGTTTAACCCCAAGTGAAGGAGAGCTGGGTCGGATCAATAGAGCCCGAAAATAGGCCGGGCTAAGCGCCTGTTGCTAAGCAACTCGCTTCACTGACGTGACATACTGACACCCTGAATTATATACAATTTCGAATTTCGCCAATGTGCTAAAAATAAACCCTTTGTTGTTACGCGCTCGCACATTCTACAAACTACGTACATACTACTCTATTGCAATTTCTTACTACGCTACTACACCGCCTACACAGATTATCTTCAATGTATTTCTAGTTCTTTTTTTGTATGCATTACGGGTAACCAAGAAATACGCCGGGCAATTTTTAACGAAATTTGGACACGTGACCTTTTCAAGAGCAAAACGTCGGCGTCGTCTCAACGGTCTCCACTCGTCTCCACACATACTTCACATAAAGTATCAGGGACGCGTCCGTCGTCAGTTAACGCGAATTTGATGACGTAATGTGAAACACAGCCGACGCCATGACATCATCCACCACACATTTGGACATTTTTTGTTGTTTTCCCGCTCCTAGCTGATTTAACGCTTAAACAAACAAGCAAAAGGATTTAATACACAAACACCATCTTATAAGTAGGTTCCTACATGAAATGTAGGCTAAACAGATCGGGCGAAATGAAATACCTAACATGTAAAGCACAAGATGTTCATTTTTTTTTTCGTGTAGTCGAAACAGTATTGCTCGACATTGTTTTCAAGTTCCTTTTTGTGTCTCTCTTGGAAATTACGTAATGCAGCATTATTACTGCGCTGAGCTGGTGGGACGCTCGCGCGGATCGCGAATCTTTTCGCGTCATCAGAGTCTATTCCGGTTTGGAGGCCACAACGTTTATTCGCTGGCTCGCTTGTTCGCACGGCAGATGCAACCAGCGCTAGCCGTTTTCCGCGCCGCGCCAAGGTCATTTTGCAAAAATAAATAACACGTTTTTAATGCCCGACCGACCGACCGACTGCACGAGCAGCACACTCGTTAATGTAAATGCATTTCGTGTCGTTCGCGCGCATAACGTCGCGCGCATTTTCCATGTTTCGCCGATTGCGGAAATTATTTCGAACCTGCTATAAACGATATCCATCCCACACCTGGTCGGCGGCGGCTTGTGCATTATCTATGCACGAGGAAATCGAATCGTGAATAAACGTCGTCAGGGAAACTAAACACGTCTTTTTAGTTTCATGCTACAGTTTGGTCAATATAATCCATTATGAGGTCTCATTATACTGTAGGAATTTAGCTGCTTCAATTCGCAGCGAATATTGGATGAATAGTAGCATTTCTGTTTTATCAGCGTGCATGTTTCCCCAGCAGCGATAAGATAAGCGCGCGCGCGACGCTGATATTTGTTTTATTTCACGAATGCGAAAATTCGTTACTTCAATATTGCGAGACGAAGGCTCAAAAGTTTTGCCGAGCCGTCTCAAGTTGACAGAGACATTGTACGCTTTATGTTTTGTATACATTTTATCAAACCGTTTCAGCCATGCAATAAGCAATGCATATTTTTAACTGAAAAGTAAAAAGTGTAGCCAAACACAAGTGTTGAGTGGAAAATCCCAAAATCCTTGAACGTTGGTGACTCATTCAGATTGGTGTGAGAAGTGGCTGACAATTTTCCGCGCAGCCGAAGGAAATTGGAACGAAAACTCCGGTGATGTAGGGATAGGGGTATGTGTGTGCGTGCGCGTGCCCGCTCCGCCTCGCAATGCGCCACCGACGACCCCCGACCGAAAGCAAAAGTTATATCAATATCTTAATCCGCGTGCGCTCTGCGCGCCCTTGCTAGCCTCGTTGTTTGGGTCGGAAGCAGAGGCCGCAGGCAGAAGCCCGCACATGGTACGTCCACCATCTTGGTTTCTCTCTTCGGCGCTTCACCATTCGATGCGATTCAATCAGCATCATTTCATAAATTGAAAGAAGGGCGTTTCGGAAAACAGCACGTTTACATCTAATCAAATAAAGCTTCAATTTACGCTGCAACATGTAATACGAAACTAGTTCTAAAACGCCCATGTATTAAAATGTAGAACAGATTATCATAAATAGGTATACAGGGTCAATATACATTTTTATCTATATTTTGGCTGAGGTGCAGTTACTCAATTCAATTAGACTTTCTTTTGCTTGTGGTCTTGCGTCACATCATCTAAAATTAGTGTGGAACGTTTCGCAAGCGTCCCAAATCTTCATAACCGGAAATAGAACGAATGCAAATTGGTTATTCATCGTTTAAGTTTAACTCAAGGTAAATTTGCAAATGGCCGAAATAGCATTCATAGAAGTGCATTATGACGTCATAAAATATTAAAATACACAACTAAAAATAGGTAACGTATGCGCTCTCAACTGGTCTTCGTCGGCGACCGTTATAGAGGACTGGAGATATTTCATTATGAGCCACAAGTCAACTGGAATCGTGTCGCAATCGCACTCGACTTGCGGTGTCGAGATGTGTTTAGCCGCACTATAACGGTGAGCAATGGAGCAACTTTCGTTCGCTGGTTATGTGGCGGCATTGCGTAACCCAAATCGAGATAGCCAACGATAGCAACTAGCTTCAATGACTAACAATCATAGCGCTACATTATGCTAAGCTAAATTGTACTTTGACCTACAAACCGGAGCGAATATCGTATCGAGCGCGGCTCACAGCGTGTACGTACAATGTGCACTGCGGAGAGAATTTCCTTGAAAACGTTTGCGCCTTCGATGCAGTAAGAGGTAATTGGCTTCGATTAAATCCCGCATTAAATCAACTCCAATGGGAAAAACACAACCGCCATCAACGCGCGCAGTGTTGCCAACTGCTCTTTGTTTTTGCCTATAACAGCCACGGCTATCCGGTCGTGAGCATTCTTTTCACCTTGGATGCAGGCAATAAAACTGCGTGTATAAAATAAATAGACAAATAGGCGAATGTATACGTGTGCGCACTTGAATTAATAAAAAAGTGCACGCCCTGGCAGGAATTGAAAAGGCCAGCGCATTGCAGCCAACCGCGGGCAGGAGGGCACTTCGGGGAGCGCGCGTTCGAGTATGTCGACTAATAAATGCACGTTCGTTTCATGCAATTTGCGCCGAATGCGGAGAACAACGAACGTGCGATGCTGAAACGCATGGAACACGAGGCGCACGCGTTATTTTCTAAAACTGGGTCACACCGCACCGCACACACACTCTTTTGACACACTTTTGCCCTCGTTTCCCCCGATATGCCCCCTTTAGTCTATCTAGTCATTTCGATCGTTTTTCGTGCTGGAAAATGTAATACAATTTTATTACAGCTTAGACTTTTTCCCCTTTGTTTATGCCAAAGAATCTTGTATATTGGATTATTTTTATGGCGCGCTTCTGTATGTATTTTCGTAATATATTTTCAAAAAAGAAATTACTAAAAACCGTGATCATCAGCAAAATTTTGTTCGCGGCTTGAAAGAGCTTTTCACAGAAATCTAACAAAGCACTCTTTTCATTGACTCTTCTAGGCACATGGACGAGAATCGTGCACTGTCATGAACTACGTGAATAAACAATTTGATATAACAGGTGAAAGGTATAATAAAGAACTAAATGAGTTATATGAATTTATGATTGCATTCGTTTTTGACATTGTTGCCGCTCCGTGCTTATTTGGTTTATTAATAAACATCAATTCATGATCTATGTAAGTACTCTTGCTTCGCTGACTACTCGCAGTTAAATGTTCATTAAATCGTTTTCTACGCTGAGCAGCTTGTGTATGACGTCGATTACCGCCATTACCGCAATACTAAATAAGTAAAAGTAGTTGCATACACGCAAATGACCCGCAGTATTTCATCACAGCTGTGATTAACCTGTTTTCAATTCATGTAAACATAATTTTACTACAATTTGCTATTGTTGCTCTTGTTTTCTTTCAATAATTACTAATTAAACGTGTTATGGCTACGAGCAGCAATGAGTCTGTGACAAAACAAAAACTAGCAAAATGGCAGTCGACGCATGCGCACGATAATATGTGTGCGCTATTGTAGGATGTAGGTCAAACGCATAAAATGCGTCGTGCGGACAACCAGCGTGAATTTTCTATTCGCTCGATTCAATATAATCATTTACATACCGGACAGAACGCGTACAATGCTTTACTCGTAGGTACTCGTATACTGGCGGTGCCGTAACAATCGCATCCCACATCCCACCGGTTGATTTAAATGCGTGATAAAAACGCGGAATTTTAATTTTATCAAGACGCACGCGTCACACCCTTTGCAATAATTCTCACACGGCTCGCGTGTGGAAAACAATGGCGACGTGTTTGTTTAATGGGAGTTTGAGCGCGGCAACACTGTTGGCGTTAACAATGTTAATAGCGAAATAGTCGAGTTGTTAATTCATTTGTTTTAACGCGTATGTCGATGTGTACAATCACGTGTTTGTCTATATCTCTGCAAACATACATTTATTGCCGTTCGCGCGCTTGATTATTGCTAAATTGTCCTCCAAATCGTTGCATAACTCCGAAGCATTCGAGAGAAGGATGCAACTGAAATATCTTGTTTTAATGGTAATTGAACACAAATTGTCGGACGCAATATGTAAATATACACAGTGTTCGCGTTGTACCTATCTAATATTTGCGATAATGTTACATCGTTGGAAAGGTTGTTTGTGGGAGTTTTATTGTGAATGTAGGTTAAACCCACTTCGTTAATAAATGTTAACGAAACATGTTAGGCGAGATGATAGCAGCTGGGTTTGGAACGGAAACGTTATGCGGCAGTTTTACACGAGAATTAGGAACATTATGTTAATGTTTTTAAATTTATCGCTCCGAAATGAGTCGTTGCGAGTTCGGAGCAGTTCCGCAGAGCAACTTGTTTGAGCTGAGTTGAGTTTCAATTGTTTTTGTCCTAGTGGCGCGGCAGAGCACATAATTGCGGTTTTGATGAAATAATGAACGTGGCCCGGACCGGTTTGGATCTCCTCGGATGTGGCCGATCGAGGTGATGAATTCGCATGCAACGTGCGGATAATAAGGAACGAAACAAAAGGTGCGCGCCCAGAGCAGGAAAACTAGTCGGCACAAAAAGCGTCAAGGCGAAACCCGCGGCAGGATGCCTGCGTTGGGTCAAGGCTACGGTTACATAATCGTCGCGAAACGAAACCGGCGAATATGCGACTTTTCCTCATAACAACCCGTTATTTTTTGTATCTGCCCATATCTTAAACATAAAAAGCATATCAGTATCATCTTTCAGTGTCACTAGAAAGGAAAAAAATGACTCAAACAATACGTATGGTAGTTTCCAACACAAATGTAGGTACATTATCCGCGTGCGGGGTAGAAACCGGAAGTGGGCATAAGTGGTACTGCGGCATATTCGAAGGCCGCCACCACCGGCGCCGCTGCCGCCGAAAAGGAACGCCGAAACTGGCGCTGCAAACGAGCGCCGAAACGAGGCCAATCGATACTCTCCTCGAAGAGGAGACACCTTGAACGCGATCCAGGAGACGTGGCGCGCCGTGGCGGCCCTTTTTAGCGAAGCTCTTCGTTTTGTTCTCCCAGTTCTTGCGGGGCGCGCGCGCGTGTGAAGCGCATTCCGCAATTCGGATCATGGCCTCTAGATAGACAACGCGGCACTAGAAAAAAAGCCTAACCTACTTTCGCCACCGCCGCCGCATACGAGAAGGAAGAGGAAGCGGGCCATGCCGGCGTATCATCCCATTCTATTATCGTGAATTACGCTTCGAGACGATCACTCTTCAACACAATAAAACGTGTGCGGAGAAAATGAGAAATATACCATGACACAGAATTTAATATTGAGAGTATAAATCTCATTACATTCTATGTTATATAATACACAGTCTCTGCTGCCAAAATAAATATTTATTCCAGGTGTGAGTTAATTAATAACGCTTTGAACTTGTTAGGTCACCAACTTCCGGCCTGCTGTGGAAGGTATTTTAATGAAGTTGAGTTTTAAAATTTCCACGTCTTTCAGGATTC